GTAGAATGACACACCCGGTATGATAACACACCAAGAACTCAACATAATTCGTCGAAATATGAGAATATAAGAATAAATATGAGAATTTGAGAATTTTCTAGTTATCTAACGGTATAACACTTTATTTACCACTTTAAGCATCCTATCTCTCAATTTAGTTGAATAGTCTTAAGAAAGATGCCAAAAAACAATGTTAAACAATGTTTTTTATTCAGTTTTACTGCTCCTAACCATGGGCACCATGATTGTTGTGAATGAAATGTGGCCAATAATATTTATGAGTGTCCACTCTAATACACAGAATGGTTCATGAATTTTCCGGATACATAATCAAATATCATAATGGAAATCATTCTGTGGTAAAAATTATTCGTATTCAGTAGGTATTTCTAAAATTTCTCCACACTATACCATTAAGAAATTCAATTCCTTTTGCAAAAATTGCTTGAAAAATGTTTTTCCTCTTCAACTTTTTTCTCTCTCTATGCTTTAAAACTTTTGAATTATTTTCCTCATACTTTACAAATATTTGCATAAATCTTCATTTGCTTCATTTAATGAATTTAATTCATAAACTTATCTCATATTCTCATACACATCTAGCGCTACTTATTGAATTTAATGTAAAAAACAAAACACAATAGGGAGAAGATTACCTCTTTTTAAGTATTTAAGAAAGATCAAATATCAAAAATAAGATGAAAAAAAAATGTAAAATAAAATAAATTATTATAGATGGCATGAGGATCAAAATACAAAAGATTTTTAATTTGATGAAACTTAAATAAAATGAAAAATAATTAATTATTATTTTTCTCATACTTTTTTTCGGAAAATTTCTTCTTTCTTCATTTAATATTTAAAAAACCCACTACACACACTCACAATAATAACCTATTATAAACTTTAAAATTTAAATTCAACATATACACATACAAAAACTAAATACAAAATTATGTATATAGATATATAATATACAGGGTAATTCAGAAAAGCTATTGGATTTCGTAGAAAAAATTTCGAAAAAAATTGGAATATTTCTTTGAAATTTATTGTATTTGAAAAAAAATCTTAAAAACTTCGTTTTTTTTTACCAAAATAACATTTCTTAAAAATCTCAACTATTTTCGAGAAAACAGTAGTTTTCTAAAACTAAAAGAAGGTGATAATTACAACGCTTAAAATCAATAAAAATCATAAAAAGTAGCAATTTTTTGATTTTCTAAATTTTATTAGGGCCTTTTAAATCTCGACATAGTAGTGGTTGTTGTGTTATATTTTCTTTATTGTATGAGAGGTTTTTTAACGTTTATGAACTTAATTTAAAACTTAAGGAACTGCCCAAAAATATGTACAATGAGGAGTTTCGAAAAATTTCATACGAAATTATCGGGATAAAGAAAATAAAAAAAAAATTTAAAATGGCAAAAATTGGAATTTTTTCAAAGTTTGAATGCTTGTGTTTCAAAAAATACATAAAATACAAAAAACCTGTAACATCTTGATTTTAAGTTCTTTGCTAAACCTTTCGAAAACTGCTTGTTTGAAGCTGCTATCATTTTCGAAACGGGAGTTATAAGCAAACAAATTTGAACAGGTAGATAATTTGTGAAAATTCGTTAAAATCCCTGTATCTTGGAAATCATTGAGAGTTGACTTCGGAACAAAAATTTTAATTCGGAACTTATTTTTAATGCTCTAACCAATTGTATACTTTGTTGTATACCTTTCTAAATCACCCTGTATAGAAATAAGAGGATAAAAATGTAATCCCAATTTATTGAAAGAAAAAGCAAGAGTAGAGAAAAAAAAATAAAAGAAAACTTCCGGAATAAATGATTAATTAATAAATAATTAAAAAGGCGTATTTCGGATAATTAAATCGCAGAAAATAATATTAATATGCATATATACTTTAAGATCTTAAAGCAGCATTCTTTTAAATTCTTGTATATCCATTAATTATTAAAATATGTGTGTGTGATGCGGCAAACCGCATATTACCTACACCCATAGTTAAATACAAAAATAATACCAAATATTTTTCCAAAACGATAATAACTCGCTCCTTCTACAAAAAACTAGTTTTTTGCTTTAAAATTCCTAGTTTTTACCTAATTTAATTAGACATCAAATTTATTTTAATTTACAATGTTTTTGATGACACGAAATACTAAATTGTATAAGTCGCTCATAAATTCTATGAATGAAAAAAAATTGGCATATCACGTACCCATTATATATGTATATATATATATATCAAATACAACTTACCTACATATTTTGGTACTTAAAAATATTATTAAGGTTATCGTAGGATCAATGTCTTTTTTATTACAATCTACAATAAAAATTTTGCTACGTTCACAAAATCATATGAAAAATTTATTCTTAAATTTCACAATTAAATAGAGAAAATTCCCAAACAACCATAGGGTTATATTTAAATGAAGTTGGGTTAAACCAATATGGTTTGTAAAGTAGCACTTTTCAACAACTAAAACTACTGCTTTTAAAAACAATCTACTACATTATTTAAATTACTTTCATTCATTTATGGAAATATTTCAAATGATTGCATACTTTAAGGATGAGAAAAAAAAAAGCTAGTAACATGTTAACGTATTGGTGAATAACTACGAGAGGGATAACTACGTGAGTTAATTTTTTGATGGTATGACATTTACCGTTACCTTTCTGCATTTATAGAAATTGCCATAACTTGAGAGACGATAAAAGTGGAAATAAATTTTAATTCAAAATAAATCATTTGTTAGTATTAAAAAGGTTGTTTAAATGTCAGACTCCTACTTCTTATTCTCTGGAAGAAAAACGGTATCAAAGTTTTAAAAACAAGGATCTTAAATAACGGTTAATTTTAAGCGCCTATTTTATTTTTTAAAGTTCAATTACGCTGCACCGCAGTAGAAGAAGCCAATCACTATTTTGCTGCTTTTGCTAAATTTAAAAACTATTTGTAGTTTCGTTATCATAAATAGTTAAAGAAAAGGCATTTTTAGAACCTTGAGGGACTATAATTTTTGGAGGAAAGGAGATAAAAATTTTCTTAAATAAATCAGAAATAAATTGCTAGTAAAGATTTATTTTTGTATAAGATTTCAGCTTTCGATTTTAAAGATTATGTAGCAGTTTTGTAAAGAGACACACGGACAGAAAGATGAGCAGACAGACGGACGGAGAGAGTGGAATTAATAAGCACTTTTTATCAATTTTTTTTAAAAAACCAAATAGTAGGTAAATACAATGCGCAAAATTTTTTTTTGATTTAAAATAAAAAAAGCGAAAAAAATAAATAAAAAAGAAATATTTTAAATGTGTTATTAAATTTTTTTCGCGAAAATAAAATCTATTTGTTCTATTTATTATTAAAAAAATAATAAAAAAAAAAACAAATTGAACAATGAGAAATTTTGAAAATCATAAAAATATTCAAAAAATACATTAAGAAAATAATCCTAATTCACAATAAAAATAAAGAAAAACAAAAATAACAAGAAAAAAGGAAAATAAAAACGCAAATACTTGGCACGCTATTTTTAACAAAGTAACTGTTTACATTCTAATTTAGCGACAATGTTTGAGAAAAAAAATTTCCTCTCTTTATTTTGTACAAAAATTTAAGCTGTCATTAGCATTTTGTATCGTTTTAAAAAAATAAACCGTTTTATTTATTATTTATTGATAATTTTTTATTTTTATTTAGCTATATGAATTATTTAATATTTAAATATTTAAATAAAATATATATGCCACACTAACACATAAATAATAAATGTACATACGTACATTGAATAAATGTATCAGTACTCAAACAAAATCTGGTTGAATTGAAAATAAAAATTTATTATTATAAAATGCGTATACGGAAATGTCATCTAATGACAGCACTTAAATGACAGACAAGCAAGTATTTGCCAAAACGTATGTGACATAAATTAGAGTGAGTAGTTGAAAATCTTTTAAAATTTCGAAAGTTTTGAGAAATTTATAAATTTGGAAAAAATTATTTGAATAACGGGTTTGTGGTTTAACAAAATATTAATTTGTTTACTTAAGTCTGGTTAGACAATAAAACACTTAACTTATTATTCAGGCGATATTAATTATTTTCGAAATTTTTGATCTTGTTGCCACGCCAAATAAAACGCAACCAGAAATTTTTATTAATTTATTCTATTTATGCGCGTCCGAATGGTGAAGTGTGCCTCGAAAAAAATACGATTTATTTAAATAAAAAATTTATGAGTCACATTTCACGGTATATAACAAAAATTAATCATATTAAAAAGTATTAAAAAGAAAAATTATGAAAAAAAAACGATAAAATCAAAGCGTCACTGTATTATGCTTTGGTGAACTAAAGTTTTCGACTCTTCGTCTCTTAATGTTATTGGAAAGTCATCGAATTATATTTTAACTATATTTTTTCTAATTAAGTATCTATACTTATTGCCGATGTGGAGTCCGAATGCAAAGCAATCGATTTTTGTCCATAAAACTTCATGGCGAATTTATGGCGTATTAGTTTTCGAAAGTATTTAAACCATTTCGTTTTGGTTATATAATTTGTATATATGTATGTTTATGGTGAAATATGTAGCCTGATTTTTGTTATACATAACTAGGTGTTTTATTTGTTTTATTTATGAACTTTTGGTTTTAATGCACTGATTTACGTGACGAAATATCGGACAGTATGCTATGCGTTTTACAATATTTGATTTTTTTTTTACAATACTCTAAGAGTTACACCCACAATTTTACACTAAAAACCACAACAAAAGCAATCACGCAAAGCTTATTGATTTAATAAAAACAAAACATTTGAAAAAAACATTTTTTTTTTGTAAGAGCAAAGTGAAATATCAAAGGCATTTCTTTTTTCCTTTTAAAGTGAAAATCGGATATTTTTATAAATAAAATTTAAAAACTTGAATATTTTTACACTTTAAAACTATTAAAATACTCGTACATATCAGCAATATTAATTTTAAAAAACTAAAACGTGTCTATAATATAACTTTAAAAAATCTGTAAATTGTAATATAAAAATTGTAAAAAATGTCTATGGATGAAACAACAACACCACAATATATTGTTACAACAGAGAGTGAAGTTGATCCAGATGAAGAGGAAACAGAAGATGGCAATAAAATAACGGAAAATCCTGCAGAAAAATTAGTTTCTACGACCAAAATATTTTTACAAGATCATAGAAGTAAAAGTTTACAATCTAGTTCATCCACTAAATTCGAACATCAACAACAATGTCAACAACAAACGTTTCAACAACAACAACAACATCAACAACATGTTACAAGTACAAGTACAGTATCATCAAGCTTATCACGTCAAGTGAAAGCAAGTTCAAGTACATCTGTTATAACAATGACCAATAGTCAAAAATCAAATACAACGAAATCAAAGTTTCAAAGTTTCCTACAGCAACCAGAACATGGAACTGGGAGCACATTTTTAACTGCCCACCAAAAACATGTACGTCAATTTGTTCGTTCTACATCAGCGCATTCAGAAGCGACTGCATCAATTGGTACTAAACCACAAGGATGTATTCGTAGTGCTTCAACACAAATTGAAGAACCTGATCCAAATATGGATATGACACAAAGTAAATTAGGACATCAACAATCATCTATTCTTATATCGAAATCAGCAGAAACTATTGAATCAAAACAATCTTCTACAGCAATACGAACACATTTGACTTTATCTGGTGGATTATTAGCGCCACCAAATCGAAGATTAACTATATTAAGTCCTGTACATGCACCAGCCGGATTACATGATGCTTTAAAAAAATATACTCGTTCACCATTATCACCGCGTTTAAATTTTCAAGAAGATGTTGATCCATTTAGGTAAGTTTATTTAAAATTAAAATTCTGAAAAACTTTTAATGCTGAAAGAAATATTGACATTTTATTATTTATACAATGTCATGCTACAAAAAAAAAAAAGTAAAATGCTTATTTACCATCTCTATATGCAAAATGTTCTTCTATAATTTTTTTTTGTTGACTTTTATCCTCTGCTGTTATTTACACGTCATGGAACCATGTGTAATTGAGAATTTAAAATGAATAAGAAATTTTATTAAAACTTTTAGATGAATATGGTGTACCATGGGATTGCTCTTTTTCTAAAATTTTTATTTGTATTATACGTATACTTGTATTTTATTTCCCTTGCATATACTTATGAATAAAAATTTTTTCAATAGTAGCAATTCAACTCCTAATGGTTTTCCTCATATTAAAAAGCCACTATAAATATTTTTCACAGTTGTTGAATTCCAGTATTGTCAGAAGTACCTACATATATGCATATTTAACCAATTTCAATGTAAAATCTTTTCATGAAACTCTGTGTGACATTATTAAATGTATCCATTTAAGCACAGCAGGAGATTCATTGATGAATAATATCCCACTTGAATTAAAAGATTTTATATTATTCTTTCATTACAAAAAAAAGTACTGACTTTCTATATTTAAACAATTGTATAACTATGTAGTAAATTTACTTTATCGTAAAATGATATTTATTAATAATGGAAAAGCGGAAATAATGTGCCATCCTTTTTAAAAATTGTTATATGTTTTGACGATAGATAGTGCTGTCAGATATTTTCTAATTATAATGGTTTCTAAATAAAAATGAAAATTTTTTAGAATTAAGAATATACAAACTACATTAATATTCATAGTAAAGCGTATATAAAGAAAAAATCTCTTTGTTATTAAGTTCAAATTCAAAAGAAAACTATGAATTTATTGTTTTATCTATTGCCCACATCGTATTTTCCAGTGTTAATTAGAACCAGCACAAATTTGTCAAAGTTTGGTTAAAGGAACTTTGGAATTCTGGTGGAAGGCTGCTGTTTAAAAGGCGTGTAATATTTACTATAGGTATATTTTGCTATTGTATATCTGTGAAGCTCCTTAAAGACTCCGTTAAAAATATCTATCAAAGCATATTTGTTTCCTTGTTATGAATATTTACATTTTCCATAGGAAACATTGTTCTATACTTATAAGCAAACCTATAACAAATGTATATCTACGTGTATTTGGAATAAGAAAGTTTATTATTTACATAGAAAGTTATAGGGTAACTTTAAAAATAATTTGATTGCTTTGAAATCAAACAAATAAAAAATGCTCTACACGAAAACAATAATATTTTGTTGAACATTTTTTTCTAAAGCAGATACTTATGATTTGTGAGGAGAAATTTCAAATCGTAAGGGAGTCATCTTAATTATTATTTTTCCTTTTTTCCGTAATAGGTGTTCCTGTTAAGCACTATAGAATTTGTTATAAATAAAACAAGAAATTTAATTTTCAATTGTACATAGCTTAATTATCCAAAAATGATATCGAGCATGGTAACCGCTACTGTTTTTGGAGAAGTGCACTCTGAACTTTCAATTATGAGCTGTTTTTTAAAGCACTATAACGCAAACAACATTGACCTTAAAGGCATCGGTTGAAAATAAACAAAAATCAGTGAGTTCATGGAGCTCTACAGGAAATATTCGAGAAATGTTAAATCACAAGTGAAGTGAGCCCAAAAACAGCACAAAAACACCTACATATACATATCTTCACTAGGAGGCTAACATTTATTAACAAAACACACATATAATTTTAATGGTCATAAAGTGAACAAGTGTCATTACGCTTCATTAAACTTTGACACGAATTTTGATTGATAAGAATTGGACAGTACTCCTGGTTTTTTCCTTCAATAACATCTACTGTCACTTTTACATCAAATTTTTTATTAAATTTTAATCAAATTAAAGAACATCCATTGAACAATGTTTGAAATACAATTTTTAATGTTTAACAAATATAATTATTTTTATTTGTTTAAACTTTATGTATCATACTAACACATTTGAATTTTCTCTAGAATTTCAAGAAAACAGTCAAAAATTGGAAAAACAAAGCAATAAAAAAACAAATAGAAAATAAAAGTAAAAGTACCCAAATAATTTTTACACTTGACTAATTTACGTAATTTTTATAGGGTCTTTTGAAAAAAGGAAGTACATATGTAATTCTACATTGAAAAATTAAAACTGGGTAGCTTGAATTTTAAAACACAAATTAAATTGGTTGATACAGCAGACAGAACTATGGGCTTGTACTCACACTAGGGTTAATTGCCGAATACGTCTTAAATATGCGATTTTTGTTGTTGATGGTTTTCATAAGATGGTCAAGAACGAAATTGGGATATTTGTTCATGACGCCTCTAAAACGACAATTCTGAGTATTTGTTTGCAAAATTTGTTTCTGTTAAAATCAATATGAATCTTGTCCGAAATTTTGGCTGGCACACATTAGAAACAGAAATTAGGTGAAAAATAATGTAATAATAAAATTTTGAGAACCCAACGTGAACCTTTAACTGAATTTGTTTAACGTAATCCTACAATTAAATTTGTTTTGTATAAAAATATAAAATCTGAGCTACTGTAGTGTGCTTATTGGAAAACTTAAATTTTATTAGAAATATTTTTAGGAAGTCCTGCACTATAATTATTTTGTCTCATGTGTTTATACAGGTAAAAAGCAAATTAAATATAAATCGCACCACATCTACATTATTCACTTATCTATTAAATAATATATCCAAAAATCTCAATATTCTGTTCTGGAACCAAAAATTGTTTTATAAAAAGAAAATTTTTAATGAAAAAAAACTGGAAAATTTTTTTCTTTTTAATGTTTGCCTTAATCTAAGATCTTTGTTCAAAAAATTCATTTTTCAAAAGACTCGGAAATTGATTGAAAAATAAAATGGAAAATAAAAGCAAATAATCAAATGGCAAAATGAAAACACAAGAAAGATAAATTAAACAAAAGAAATAAAATCTTAAACTAAATACAATATTAAAATTTCGAAAAAAGAAAAATACGCACCCTAAGGAAAAATTCTTTCACAATAATATTTGATTCTTTATTTACTTGTGAACTGTTCAAGAAACACAAGGTCAATGAAATTGTTGCTCTTTCACCTAGACTCCATCTACACTTCTCATTTCTATTCAACCAACAAGTTCCCATTTGTATAGAATATTTTAAAACATGAAAATCGATAAAAAGAGTATCCCTAAGAACTTATTAAAAAATAATTGAAGAATTTCATAATTTTCATATCTGACAACAATCTAAATAAAATCAGACAAGATTTTTTTGAAGTGGAAATTTAAAAAAAATCAAAACTTAAATGAGGTAAATGAGTCCCATTTTCTAAAAAAAACATTAATTTCCGCAATGTTAAATTATTTCTACAAAAAATTCCAATTTTTACTGAATGCATTGCAATATGATAAGGCAAGTATTGGCATCGCTGGAAATTTCAAATATTGAATCTTCAACTTAAACGCACGTTTCCTGGTTGTAGAAATGCAATTAAGCCAATGTTAATGAGATATTGCAAAGGTCTATCGCTATTTCGGTCCCCTTGTGCACTTTTGCTGAACTAGTAAACGATGTAATTCACTTTCCGGTTAAATAGGCTTCTGTACCTTTAACTTCCAGACTAGAAACCAAAGAAAACATTCTTATAAAAAATGGGAATTTTTTAGGAAATGAATTTTAACTATTTGAAGTCAAAAACAAAATTGCTGCCGCTAAAAGATATTCTTTCTAGATCTTAATTTTCAGCTCTTTCCAGATTTTAATTTGAAGTCCATTTCACATAGATTTAATGATTTCAAACAAATTTGTGGACGGTTATAGATAAAAAAATATCAAAGTTACAAACCATTTCACGCGTCACCCCTCGTCTTTGTACTACGACATTTAAATTGTGTTCCAAACTTTTTAATTTCATTAAAATTTTATTGTTCTAAGATCTGAATAATAAAATTCGCTAATTCCACGAACTCTCATTGGTGTTTCATTTCTTCTTTATAACTTAAATGCGAAACGAATTATTTTTAATACCCAGAATTAATTTTTTTTTTCAATATTTTTATTTGTTCAGATTTAATTTCCATTCATATTATTTACCAAATATGTCGGAATGAGTGAAATTATACTTAACAAATAATTCTCTCTTTGTTTAAAATTTCATAATCTAAAATAAACGATTTCATTTTATTTTATTATTGAATTTTAACTAAAACAATTATTTAATACGTACTACCATTTTTTCTACCATTGGCTATTGAAGACCTACAGCTATGAATTTTCCGTAAACTGTTAAACACAGTGGTATAGAGTGGTGTGGCACAATACAAATTAACTACTTGCAAATTTTACTTGATAAGCCATAAAATAAAAAAAAATTCACAGACCTTGACGTGACTTTAACATTATTGTAAGAGCACTGGTGTGATAAAGCAAATTGTGGCGTGTGTTTTTGTATTTTTAGAAATTTAAAGATAGATTTCAAGAATATGTAAAGATTTTGTTTTAGGAGAAAATCGGTAAAGATTTCTATGAAAGATATTTTTTTTAAATTTTTATTTTCGCCCAAAATTTTTTCGGGTGCAATCGATTTGGATTAATTGGTAAAATGGCAATTTTTATATGTATTAAAGCAATTTGTAGTTATAAATTTTGACACTTGAATTCATTGAATTTTCACTTATGTTTTAATTTTTAATTAAGTCTCTCTAATTAAATCTATCAAGCAATTCTTTTTCATTAAAATGATGTGATGACTCTTGCTGCCTTATCTTTTATTTTTATTTTGCATACTCGCCTATAAATAGACTAAGATATGAGAAGCATGTATTAACTAATGTGAAATAAGACTATAATTAACAAAGAGTTAAACTTCCAATATTGAAATTGTTAGATTAAAGCTAAAATTACATTCCATAGACGACAAAATC